GGGTTTCGATTTATTTACGAAACTAATCTGACCAGTTGCTGCATTCTTTGACACTAATTTTCAAGAAAATAAAACTTCTGTATTTCACTTAATTTGAGACACGTAGCTGAATATTAACATACGTTCATTATTTAGTTACTCGCAATAAATAAAATTTTTGGAAGTAAATAACGTGTATGTAAATTCATATGTAAAAATTTACCAATTGCCAGAAAGTAATTGTTCGTGCGTATTAAAATTCTTACAATAGGCAGTAAAACTATTCACACTCCCATATAAATTATAAATATGTAGATGTTAATGAAAGCGGTGTATATATTTTCCCACATGTAGATTTGATAAACTATTTATGAAACTACATCTATTCTGAATTTATCTGTTACAAATATACAAATGTAAGGCAAGATATAAAAACGAATAAAACAAGAACATGTAAACAGTAACATTAATAAAAATGTCCATTAACGATGCATTTAGAATAAATTGTCTTGTAGTTAAGTGAAAAAATATATACTTTTCCGTTTCATGTTTCATGATTGTCATATTTATCCTTAAACTGAAGCATCGGATATTTTTATTTTCGTGAAAACATATAGATACACGTAATATGAATGGAATATATAACACTTCATTTGTGCTAATAATACTCAGAATTCATGCTTTATCGGTAACGTCGGATATTGACACTAAAATGGTAGCAGGGCTACGTAGCCCTATGAACGTGGGACAGAAAAAAGCATTGGATGATAGGACTATTTTATACCTAGTCGATGGTATAACTCTATATCTCGTTTGTGATACTAGGTTCCGTACTCGATGCATTTGTACAGATGACGCTGATGTAGATGCTGGAAGTTGTCAAATAAAAGAGGTTGGAAGTGTATTTATATATTTCTAGAATTTCATTTATAAAGGCTCCATGTCGTTAGCGGACGAACTTTTAGCGGATCTAGAAGAAAATGATGACTCTGACGAAGCTATGGAAGAACCGGAGCCGGATTTCATTCCGGCTTCGGTTTCAAAAACTATCGAGGAAGGTAATTAACCTTAACGATCGTCAATGTAAATAATGTGAAAGCTTCTTTTAATTACGTTTTACATCGATTTCAGAAATAAAGGTGGCTTCTGTGAGGGAATTAGCAAAATTGCGTGACTCGGAACTATTGCGAAAAGTAATGTCTCATATCGAAAAATACAGTAAAGTTTTTAGGAGGTCTGTAGATATTATTGGACCCGTTGAGTCAGATCCAGAATATCAGCTTATTGTGGAAGCCAATAACATGGCTGTGGATATTGATGATGAAATCGGTATATTTTGATATTATGAATTTCAAATAGTCACATAATGCTTTTTTAGCTATATGTATATGATATAAATGATATTTTTTCAGCTACAATACATAGATTCACAAGGGATAAATATTCTAAAAGATTTCCAGAACTAGAGTCTTTAGTCGTTGGTCCCTTGGAATACGTAATGACTGTTAGAGAATTAGGAAATGATTTAGACAGAGCAAAGAACAATGAAACATTACAGCAATTTCTTACTCAGGCGACAATTATGGTAGTTTCCGTTACTGCATCAACAACTCAAGGGTACTATGTTGTTTTATAATCATATCATTTACAAATTACGTATGTATATTGGGTCCATTATTTTTTAAGCACAAAATCATTGTATGTACAGACAGCTACTAACAGAACAAGAAAAGGAAGCTATCTGTGAAGCTTGCGATATGGCAGTAGAATTGAATAATTGTAAATTAAAAATATTTGAATATGTAGAAAGTAGAATGGCATTTATTGCACCAAACCTGTCCGTGATAGTCGGTGCATCCACAGCAGCAAAAATTATGGGTAAACTTTAACGCACTTTGATTTCGAATGAAAACTCTTAAATGTCTTATATTTGAACTATTATACATTCTACTTTTATGTGTAGGTGTCGCAGGAGGTCTAACTAAATTATCAAAAATGCCAGCTTGTAATATTCTAGTTTTGGGATCGCAAAAAGCAACATTATCTGGGTTTTCACAAGTGGCGACACTTCCTCATACTGGTTTCATATATTACTCTGATATAGTACAAGATACGCCGCCTGTGAGTAGTTGCATAATGATACTTATATAAACATCATTTACATATATAGTTTTAAACGCAATATTGTTTCGTGATTTCTTATACCTTTCTAGGATTTAAGACGAAAAGCAGCAAGACTTGTAGCAGCTAAGAGTATGTTAGCTGCTCGTGTTGATGCTTGTCATGAAAGTACAGATGGTCACATTGGTCAAATGTTTCGTGAGGAAATTGAAAAGAAGCTGGATAAGCTTCAAGAACCTCCGCCTGTAAAATTTGTGAAACCTTTACCAAAGCCTATTGACCCAGGCCGAAAGAAGCGCGGTGGTAAACGTGTCAGAAAAATGAAAGAACGTTATGCCATTACGGAATTTAGAAAACATGCGAATAGAATGAATTTCGCTGATGTAAGTTTTACATTTTTATATTTTGCATCATTAGGCAATTAACACTGTTACAGTTTTTCTGTATATGCTCTTAGATTGAAAACGATGCTTATCAAGAAGATCTTGGTTATACGCGTGGAACAATTGGTAAAGCAGGAACTGGCCGTATTAGATTACCTCAAATTGATGAAAAAACAAAAGTACGGATATCAAAAACACTTCAGAAAAATTTACAGAAACAACAACAGTGGGGTGGAAGTACGACAGTTAAGAAACAAGTTTCTGGTACAGCATCCAGTGTTGCATTCACGCCACTGCAGGTACTATATGAATAATTTTATGCATAGTGTATGAAAGTTTGAAAAAAAAGTGATGCTCATGACAATCTAGTCTTATACAATTTAAGTATACATATGTTTCTTTTATAGGGCTTGGAAATTGTAAATCCGCAAGCGGCAGAAAAGAAAGTAAATGAAGCCAACGCGAAATATTTCTCGAACACAGCAGGTTTCTTGAAAGTAAAAAAGTAAAATGCAAATTACAAAGAAGAAGCACTATTTCATACCTTTTAATTAAACCTTTAATGTTGTATTTACTTACTATAATAAACGTGGTTCGTTTATTTATATATGAAACAAATCTAAATAAATAATGTGAATTTTGTACTATTAAAATATTGAAAATGAACAAACGAATTAATTTTTCTTTACACCTTTATTTTTACAATATCATAAGTTAGATACCAATGGTTATGTGAGGATTTCTTTTTATTAGAAAAAATGAAAAATTACCTACCGGTAGGGACAACGTGACGTCACAGAGTTATATACATACAATAATACGACTGTACACCATGCTACGTAACTACACCAATGAAAGCGCGGCGTATGCCCCACACAAATATACCCCCTCTACTACTCCCAATACGTCACTTTGTCCCTACAGGGCCATCTCTTGTCTACTCCTGGTAACGTTGCTCGTGTGTACGTTGTAAGAAATTTAAATTCTTACAGCCGGTTGTCGAGGGTCCGTATCAATAACGCTTTTATTTCAATAATAATAAATATATAATAATAATCGTAATAATGTGTACCATTCGAAGTTTAATATAAATCTAAATAAATCATCATTTATAACGTCAAATACATTTACTAGAGGAAGGACTTAAATGAAACAACTGGGTGTAAGTTAACCCAATACGTGCAAATAGAGTTGAGATAGACGACCTCGCGGTAAACCAATCGTAAAAATAAACAGTGCGAAAGACCGGTGACTAGAATGAAAAGGGACGTTGACGTGTAACGAAAGTAGAGAAACAAGGATACCCGTACATATGTGAGCCCCGTGACAGAGCGAGTAGCGGTGTTGTAATGGTAAAAGAGAAGGACAGGGTGAGAACAGCAAACCAGAACTGGGTAATCGTTGACTGCTTTGAGTGCTCGTTTGTGTTCTGACTTCGTCTCTCATCTCCACACAAGGAAAACGTTGCCGCTTATGTTGTTGTGTTTTCGTTTATCGCGTGAGTTTTCTGTCGACCGGGCGTTCCGTTCAACCTTACGCGGGAAATGTGGTTGTGTTCCGGCTGTGACACGAAAAATTAAGTACAGCATTGCATTGACAAAGTGGAAATTTTCGTTTGTGTACTGGGGACCCATTCGAGGATTCTGTGGCGAAGAAACAGGTCTTGACGATCAACCATGGCGAATTCTAAAAATTTAAAGGACGATTGGTCCATGGTGTTTCTGGAGTATGTTCAGTGTTTAAAATCTGCTGGTGAGTGCCTCCCCCCTCTTTTTTACATGTATCAGGTTCGTGTTATTTTTTATAAAAATTTCGAGTAACCACCATTATGAATAGAAGACTGCCGAAGTTAGTACAATTTCAAAAAGTATTTAACGTTTTTCTTAATTTGATACATTTTTACTATATTTTCCATGTTTCGTTGCATTTTGGAGTTAATAAATTGATAAGTACTAGTATATTCAAAAGTTCCTTTCACAGTGATGACCACTTGAACAAGCAGGTGATGTTATTCGTACATTGTACATTCTTCTGTTCACTAATAGGGTTTGTAAAATGTAGAAAAATTAGGAAGAATAACATGTATCTAAAAACATTAACGTCGGCTGTAATAGGATCATTCCAAGTGAAATTGAACACCTTTTGGAGCAACATTTCGAATTTTGTTGACACTTTGATATGTCGTAGTCTTTACTGGTATTGTATAAACGTATTTCGAATGATTTTTGAAAATTTTAATATAACACTATAATTCAAACAGCTGTAAAATCAATAATTTTTAAAATTTTCAAACATTTTCCGAGATACGTTTATGTATCACTAAAGACTACAACATATCCTCGTGTCGACAAAATCTGAAATGTTACTCCAAAAAGTGTCCGATTTCTCGTGGAATGACCCAATAATGATTTTGTTAAAATTTTTTATATAGGGTACATTTCGTGATAAATATAACAATAAAGCCAGGCAAAGGATATAAGCAGTTACGCATTGCAAATATCACAAGAATTGTAAACGTAAATAAACAATTATAAAAATTAATTGATGTATTAACATTAATATAGTTTATAAATTAGCAAACTATTAATTTAATAATATAATGTGTTTGAGGGAGTTTTGTGAAAACGGGAGTGCAGTTGTCGAAACTACATAATGAGTAGTTATCTATTTTATCGTGCAAAATTGTTCCCTTTAATAGTTTATTCGTTCACCAATAATAACGATCGACACTGTATACATATAGACTATCTATTAATCTTAAATTTGTGCTAGCTCTATTCTATCATTATCTAAGAAAGTTTTAAAAATAAAAGAGATAACCAAACAGCTTTGATTAATGGCAAGAAAGGGACAAAAAATCATATCTTGGTGATAATACTTCGAAAGGGCCAATATTCTCGTGCGCACGCTTGTAAAGACCTAATTACAAGGCTTCAAGCTGGGACCTAATTTGATAAGCTGCGAGTCCTAATAGTTTATGCATACCCGGAGAAGTGACATCGATCGGTTAATTTAGTTAAAACTTACTTTAGGACCATTCCACGCGAAATCGAACACTGTTTGGAGCAACATTTCAGATTTTGTTGACATTTGGATATGTTGCAGTCTTTAATGATGTATAAATGTATCTCGAGGGATTTTTGAAAATTTAAAACATTGTTGATTTTATATCTGTTTGAAATATAGTGACTACGGTTTTTCAATAAATTATAACTGTTGAACTAACAAACAGATCAAAATTAACTTTGTGGGTGCTTACAGTGGAGACATAAGAGTACCTAATAAAAATTATTTCAGTTAAAAAAGGTATTTTTTTACCATCTATTTTGCAATTGTTTCAAAGAAATGCAATGTTATAATAGTGGGGCACTATTTAAAAATTTGAAAAAAAATGAAGATATAGTTCTATTTACCCTCTTTATGGATAAATGTTAAAAAATATGGAGACTTCAAAATTGGGCATATGAAAATTAATTGAAGTTATCACTACGACGACCCAATGTGATCCTCATTTTTCTCAAATTTTTTTAAAATTGGGAACATTTTTTTTGAAAAGTGAAAAATGCATCTCTTCGTATTTCTATTTTTAGTTTAGTTTGTATGAATTTTTATGCAAAAGTGATAACAGGGTTTCGTAATAATTAAGATTTTAAAGTGACTATACAATTTTCTTCAGACTATAATGCAGATTAGTTTCAGAACAAGAACCAAAAAACCTTAGGGGGGACGAAATTTGGACTCCTTACCCTATTAATGTATAACATTATCGAAATTATTAACAGTAGAACTACCAAACCCGTCAAAATAACGGATTACAGATTTCTTATTTTAGAATTATCAATATTATAATAGTGCTTTGGCGGAATTTTTGTTGACCTTTAATTTACTATGCTCTAATATATTTTATATTATACCGTATTATACTAAATTGTATTAAATATTATGTATATTACAATATTGCACAATTTAATTTAGTATGCTAGATTGCTTAAAGACGCCTTATACCTAAAACAGCCGTAAAATAGGCGTTTTTAAGGCGTCACGTGTTATCTGGGGGTAATTCTAGTGGTAAGGACAAATTCAGTTGTAGTTTCTCTCTTATTTTATCCAATCTGATAGCTGTTTATGACTTCAATCGCCACAAATATAAACTATTCGTCTGGATAACATATACCAGAAGTAGCATCGGAACCATGATGCTTTCATTACTTGCGTGGAATCTTCACTTATCGGCAAAAAAGCTTTTGTTTACGAATAATTTAAGCAAAGTAGGTATATCTTACCATAATTAGTAGACGCAACCTGTGCAGAGAGAGATTGTTAATTAATAGGAAGAAGTGCAGGCTTTGATATCGTGAGTAGCAACATAGAGATGTAATCGTCTGACGTTAAAGTGAAAAATAACACATAAACGGATAGGAAAATAAAGAATCAACCATAGAGTTTTATGTTATGTTTTCGTTTTTCTGATTCGAATGTTCTGCGATTAAACAGAAGATGATTGGTTAATACATGTTCGTGACAGTAAGGTGATTCTGTTATTTTTTATTAAGTATTCCATGTGTAATTTCAGAGTGACCAGGTCTTACAATTAGTTGGCCTATAATTGTTCTTTTTTTTCTTTCTATTCATATTACATGATTTTATAGAAATGGTAAAACTTGAACTACACAAGACACGTGTTATGCTCTCTTTTCTAAAGTAAATGTCTAACATGTGATGACGTAACTGATGCTTTCTTAATTATGTGAATACTTTCTCGCGTCGGTAATTCGTAATTCTGCAACATTATGCGAGAAAGCGATGGGATAGCCACTTTTCGTCGTAAAAAGCCTGACGTTTTCCTGGCCACTTTTTTAATCAATACAATTTTTACGTAAGTGGAAATCCAAAAGTTTTATTTAACAGGTTTGAACACTTTGATGCCTGCAAAAAATATTATGTTTTTGAGAATTTGATTCTAAGTGACAAAAACGCTGTTTTCTATCGAAATGTTACAACAAAAACAGGGATATTTATGAATAGTAGATGCAAATTTGGTTTTCAAATTTTCTTTAAAAACAAATATGGCGATCGAGAGTATACCTTGTTACGTTATTTCTGATGAGATAAACAGGATTTAAATAATGTAATATTAACCCCTTGCCTTATAACAACGAGTCAGACACGGGATGACGATTTCAAACTGGATTTAATAAACATGTATACTATTCATTTTCTGTGAGTCGAAGTGAAATTCTGTTTCATTGGTATTAATATTTAAGATTTAGAGTAAATGTTACACTTGCCCTAAGAATAAAATTCCTTTCGTATCTGGGAAATTATTAACGGTAAAGTAATTTTTGAGCGTACAGTCGTTAAAACAATCGTAAGGTAAGGGGTTAAATGAATCTAAGTTGTCCATCGTCCTACGTAGGTTTCTTCGATATTTTAATTTATATCTTACTTATCATAAGTAAAGGGTCATTTGCTTGTAAAAAGTGAACTTTTTGAATCAAAGTGTCAAAATTTTGTTCGAAAAAACGACA